CAGTAAAAATATTTTTCTTCTTGGATTATTTTGATATTTGAATCAAGAACTTTGGTCATTTGTTTAAAATACGAGCATAAAACACTATTCTCGTAATAATCAATAATTCTTGTTCGCCATCCGTATACTAAATCATGGACATTGATTGCTTTTGGGAGTATTTTTACTAGTATTCTTGGACAAATGTGTAGATTCTCGATAATTAGTGAACGTAACGTTGAGTATACAATTATTTTATTTAGAAATAAAAGAAGATTTAATTGATCATTGTTGGATAATGCAGTAGTGCGGTTGAATGCATTACAGACACTTAATATTATAATAAATATGATGATCATAACTACTCAGATTTAAATTCGAAAAATTATCTGAGAAAACTGACAATAGATGAGTAACGTTTTTGAATATTTCATAAGGTGACAGAGTTAACGTTCTAAAAGAAAATGATTTTACAGCACATTTTTTTAAGTTGCATAATGTACTCCGTGAATGCTTCAATAGATGATCATTTCAAATATTCGCAGAAAACTGACTATAAAAGCCACATGTCAAAAATGGCAGAATAACTCAGCAAGCAAGCGCCTCACCGTAGTCAACAGAATATAGTCGCGGTCAAAAGTCTCGCCCCACTTTTTTATTTTGCTTATTGTATGAAAAGTAAGAACATTAATTTAATATCATTATATGTGTGTATAGCTGATGAGTAGTACAATACCTAGATATACGATACATGCATGCAGTGTTTTAATACATTATACAAAATAAATACGAAAAAGGAAGCTATCTTTTTATTTTAAAATATTTTGCACACGAATGTGATCTATGATATTTTACTGATTTTTTAACCCATCAAGAAAGTTCAAAGCCACGAAAAATATGCCAGCGGAAAGCGGAGAAGATAACGAACATTTTTGTAAAAAAGGTTTTCGAAAGAAGACTTTCTCAGAGTCGGCAGACCAGTTTTAAGGTAAAGTTGAGATGGTCAACATGTAAACTCTGTACCTCGGTAATGAATGGATGAAATTTCTTTTTAGACATATCAATGAAATGAGCATCAGAAACTGCGTAAGAAAACGGTTGATTTAAAATTTTATGAAAGAAGTAGACACATTTTTTTCGTCTGTTGGTTATAAATCTCATTCAAAGCATCTTCATTTTTGCAGGTTTTTTACTTTTTATCGTTTTCTTTATGACTTATTTAAATTCATTAGAACCACCATTAAGCGAGCTTTAAAAGTACGGATCGATTTTTTTCTTTTATTTTGCTTTATCACTAAGAGAATACATTTTTTCTAAATCAGTAGCAAAAAGATCAGAATTCTGTCTGTAATTCTCTATTTTCTCAACTGGAATTCACCTTTTATGCAATAAAAATATCGTGTTCGGTGTCAGCATCGAAAACTGAGTTGAATGATGTACTTTTTTTATCCTAACCGATTACTTTTGTTTTTTCCTTTTTGACCGCGACGGTATCAGATCTTGGAGATACATTAAAATAATCTAGTAAATACTTACGAACTTAATATGGATTTAAAACTGTCGATTATCAATCTACATTCATTTTTATTGTGTGAGAACGTATAAACGATCAAAGCGGATTTGTTCTCATATGGATAATAGTCAAATCCAACAAAACTTCCACGGTTGAACCAAAAATTGTTTTGATACGATGAACACACTACGTCAAGATTTATCGATGATTCATTCAGGCCATGCAAATAAACACTGACTTGAAATACTTTGAATGCTGGTAAACAACTTAATAAATGTTCCCAACGTTGACCATTAACAAAATCAATTGATGTTGATGTAAATGATAGCTTTTCAGATTTAATCACAGTTTTAAGACATGTTCAAATTCATCGAATGGTGTATCTTTTAAACGTATTTCTAACTTTTGTAAACAAACTAATTCATACAGAGTGATTGAATAACGAGAAGATTGCAAGTTATCATTATATCGTAGATTTATTGATAATGATTTAACTTTTGGTACAGACTGACTTAGTACTGAAAAATCAGATAGTGACCTTAAACAAAGACGTAAATTTTCAATATTACTTTTATTCTCGATCTTAGTTTAGTTTAGTTTATTGTTTGACAAACAGTCATGAGTACACAGTAGCACAAGTTAAACACAGCTAATACAGAAATGACTAGAAGAACATATTTTGCCGCGCACCCATATGCACCGATCTGTTCAACAATAATTGGACAACGACAATTATTTATTAATGCTCAATGTTCATACCGTCTACGTAGTGATCAGTTCTTATCAAACGGTGATGCACGTATACGTGCATTTGGTAGTTTAGCTGGCGAAGCTTATTGGCCTGATATAGCAGCCAATGACGACTATGAATTTTCAGTTGGTGTTGATCCTGATGTTGTGTATATAGAATATGTAGTATTACTTCCATCTAAAGTGTTAAATAATACATCAGCAAAACCACAATATTCTGGAAGTGATGTAACTACTGTTAGACAGTTATCATATGAAATAAACTTAAAATTAAAAAATTTTAAAAAACGTCTAGTTAAAGTTGAATATACTCTATAATTTGATGGAAAACAATTCATGATACAAGGAAAAACTTCCTTTATACAAGTTGGGACAGAAATTCAAGGAAACTTTACGTTAAATGGAGGTGAAGAAAAAGATTATAAATATAAAATTAACACTATAGAATAAAAGTTTTTATTTACTCATATACTTCTTTATGTCGAGAAAAACTTGTTGTCATCTTCTTCTTATTATTATTGCAATAAGAGGTTTTTATAAGCCATACTTCTATTTTATTCAATCTTTCTTTAATTGCTATTTGTTCAATTCGTATCCAAGTACTATGATTTCTTAAACAAGCGCCTTATAATAAACAGAAGAATCTAATTTTAAATAGGAGATATTCCTGCGAAGAATTACCTTTAGCTTTGCTAGCATATTCTTTCGTTAAATCATCTCAATTCTCCGACGTTTCTTCGCTGCTAATGTATTTTCATTAGATCACTAACACATTTTAATATGTTTATTTTCTTTAGCGATAAACAATATTTCTAATCTTATACTATCTTCGCATAGAAATTCGTTTTTCTTTCTAGAA